CGTATGTACTTCGGCATAAGTTGTTGTACCTATTTGTCAGGCCAAACTCGAGAATAGTTGGGGAACTAACAGTATGAGTGATGACTGAAGATTAGGCATGAAAGATACAATCCAAAAAATATATAAATTAGTAAAATAAAGCTAAAAAAAGTTGTGAGGAATTGAGCGCAGAATTTTGGAAAGATGAATAATCGATGCACTTGTGCACTTGTGGTTACTGTAATCAAGCGAACCCCAACCAGTTAGTCTACACGTATTAACATGGCTCAGTTCAGTTGTCGATTATGAGGGCTTTGATAAACATAGTTTTCTGATCGCAACAACCCAAACATTTTGGATGTTTTCCTCTAAATGTGTAATGTGACTACAAGGCTGGTCTGCATCATTATCAAGACTGATGATAAGTAATGCAATCTCTCGTGTTCACTTCACTTACGCCAGCAGTTTCATTAGATTTCTCGAAATCTCCAGACCAATACAGAAAGCTTGCATAGCTTTTAGCAGATTGCGTCACTTGTGGCACGGACAAGATGTTTGCCAAAGAGGTGGTGAGTACGCTGTGTAGTCCTCTCTATTTTTATCACTATGAATCATGGTCGTTATACGTAGTCATTTATAGGTTACTAGTATTTGATCATGTCAGGGAAGTCCCAATCAATGCCTTCTCGCGGCAAGGTGTTGTTTATGAAATTAAGAGGACGAAAAGCGGTTGTCCGGCGCCTTGACCGGGTTAGTGGACATGGATGTCTGCAGTCATATCACCTTTGGGATCTATGTTTATATAAAGTGTTTTCTTTTCTACAGAGGTTATTTGTGCCCTATGCAGCTCAAGTTTTATGTTCTTGTGAGTAAATATCGATAGATACCCGTGTTTGTCATTACCAAAAGTGATTTTTACATTATTCAGTTTATATAAAGACGAACTCACTCATTATTTTCAGGATAAGCTATAACTGCCACTGAAAGTGTGTCTTTAGAGCGTGACCACGGGCCCATAACCACATAAAACCTAGAGATTGGTTTAGACTGCATCAGGGATTTAGCTAAGACAAGCAAATCTCTCGAATACATTTTCAGGCAGCTTTGCACAATCGGCCTAGAGTTGCTCTTACCACTTTTTAAAATGTACACACGGCCCCGTCTTGAAGTCCAAGGTGTCATTGAGCTTCCTCTGTTCAAAATAGACAAAAATCTCTTAGACCAAGTACAAAGACGGGCAACGAAGTAGGTGATATGTCTAAGACGCGAAGTTTACGAGGACAGACTCTGGCGTCTGGGATTAGTTACGTTTAGATACAGAAGAATAAAAGGTGATCTATCAGTGGCATGCAGCATATTGGGTATAATAAATCACACTAACATGGGCATATTGCCAGAATATCAACACGCCACTCAAGGCAACTTATATAAGGATTGGATACCAAATAGCGAACATTTGTGCACCCTCTCACTTATTCCCACTATGAGTTGCCCCCATAGCGGAAGTGACCATAGCCTACCTTCAGGGGATAGCTCTAAGATGAAACGTGACAAGCACGTACTCACTAAGGAGTTACCATCCCTCTCTTGGACCAGATATGTCTGATACGTGTTTCGGAACTCACCATGCTTATGATTACTGCATAGCCAGTAACTACTTCCAACCTTGCTTATTATCATCCCCGTTCTCCTCTTATCCTTTTGATTTCACGTTCTTAAACTTTACCAATTATTTTAATTATTTATTTTGAAACAATTTTCTTCTATTTGCGCTCGAAATAATAATTTATTATTTTCACATTGGAATCCACCAGCCACTTGTCTGGTAATATGATAGTTGTTGGTACCCAGGATCCTTACCGACCTGAGACAAATGCGCTCACTCAAACTGCAAGATTTACAAACTCATAAATATCTACCAAACTGACTAGAACAAGTGTATTTGAGTGGCCGAACTACTAACTATTGAACATTGTCAAATACTTGAAACCTTGCCGAACTATCAAGAAGTGAGAGCAAAGGAATCGATCATCTTATAGAAGCTCGCGAGAAAGGCACACAAAGACACTTCTCGCTCAGATATAGCTCATTCTGCTATACTGAGGGGAGCAGCCTCAATCCTGGCAACACCGTTTTGCGTGATTTTCTCACGTTCACTACCGGAAAATAGGAAGCTGGCTCACACCACATCAATTTTCAAAGGAATTCGACGCAGCGAACCTTCAAGTTACCGAACGGTGGCTCTTCTCTCTATACCTTCAAAAATCATGGAGTCCCTGATACGCGATGGTATATATGACTATTTACTGTCCCTAAATTTCTTCTCACCCCAACAGCATGGTTTCAGGAAGGGTTACTCTTGTATAACCAACCTGCTGACTGTGGTGGACAGATGGACAAGCATCCTTGATCACAAGGGGAAGGTTGATATCTTCTACCTAGATTTCTCGAAAGCTTTTGATAAGGTTAATCATACATGTATTATCAATAAGTTCAAACAATTGGGTATCAGACCACCTCTAATTGGCTGACTCATCTCATATCTGAAAAATCGACATTTTAAGGTCAGGGTTAACTTCACTTTATCTCGGGCTATGGAAAGTCCTAGTGGGGTCCCCCAGGACTCAGTACTAGGACCTCTTCTCTTCTTGATTTATATAAATGATCTTCCGCAGCAGTTATCGTCAGACTCATTACTTTTCGCTGATGACGTGAAACTTTGAATAGAGATGCGCAACCAAGACGATATGCAGGCACTTCAGGAGGACCTGACTTGACTTCAAAGTTGGGCAAATGACGACGGACTTACTCTTAACACTTCGAAGTGTAAAGTAGTCCATCTGTGACGTGTCGTAGGCTACAGTTACAACTTAAGCAGCTCCTCTCTAGTAGTATCCCGAATCGAAAAATATTTAGGAGTCCTGGTGCCTTACTATTTGAAGTCTTACGCTAACTGTGACAAAAATGCCTTCCGAGCAAACCTTGCACCGGTAACATTGAAGCGCATTTTCGGCCAGTATGACGGAAGAATTTTACATATAATCTTCAACAGTTTTATTCGTCCCGATTTAGAGTACGGAAAAAATTATCTCCTCCCTCACTCCGAAAGGATAAGTACACTCCGGAGCGTATCCAACGGCGAGCCACGAAATCAGTTCGAGGACTCAAATTCAAACCTTATGAAGATCGCCTCCAATCACTTAACATCTACCCATTAGAGTATAGGAGTCTTAGAGGTGACCTTCTAATGACTTACAGTATCTTAAACAATTTCGAGCATCCCCTTAAACACGTACTTAAGCTTAGTCCCAATACAAACCTAAGGGGTAACACCTAGAAATTGGAAATACAACATAGCAGAATGGACTGTAGACACAACTTCTACACCTTAAGAGTTGTCAAAAGCTGGAATTCGTTGCCTACTGAACTAGTTCAAGAGAATTCCTGGGAGTCCTTGAAGAGGAAGCTTGACCTATTCTTAAGGACTAAGGATAACATTTTATTATGCGTTACTAATTTCCTTTTTTAAAATCTGTTATAGTTAGTATATCTAGGTTCCTGCCTGGAGGTATTGGTGATCTCCTGCTACTAGACACGGAAGCCTGTTAAACGAAAGCTTCTTGTATTCCATCCACAACCTTTTGAACCATTTGAACCTTAGAGATGATTAAAAGTTGAAGAACCAAACACGCGGGTTGATTTGGTTACAGATGTCCTTGGTAGGAATCTTAATGTTGTGATTGTTGGTTGAGTTGTCGATTTTAATTCTAATAGAATAAATAGTCTAAAGTTACTTTATTTAATGCTTATGGAACAAACGTCAGGAGATACCTACCTGAAGGAACCCACATTAACATGATGGGAGTTCTTTACGGTTAATGCTGAACATCACTTTAGGGGAAATGCAGTTCCTATGGGCGACTCACACAGTCCAGTAAATAGGGGATTATTTTCGTTCTGTTTTCGAAGAATTTCCACGAAAATCAGCGGAATTTTGCGGGAATTTCCTTCACTTAATTGGAATTTCTAGAATGCACAATCAGTTTATGTTGATTGTTTATTCTGCAAAGTTGGGAGTTCGTTTACTGTTTATCCTACAGATTAAGTTTACTGAGCCTAGAGACAAAGTTTCTCCTGTTGTCCCCAATTATTCGTCACCACTGAAAAGGCTCTAGAGCTCAGTTACTGGTTATTCTAACATTTATATACTATTACTTATGTGGCATTGTATGGTCAATGTAGGCTTACGTACGTTGTTAGATTTATGAATACTAAGTGGGAGTTGATGACGCTCAGTTCAATTTGACGCTAGTCAGTAATTCACGTACATCATCCAGTCGTTTATTTTAAAACTCGCTCTGGTCCAAATTTGTGTTTCCTTTGACTTCATCATCAGTTCTCAGTGCAGCTCTGCATTATGGCCTCACTTTCAGTCAAACGTAGATGTTCATTTATTTCTGGCTAATATTATTTGATCAGGCCCTGTCGGGACAGAATCAGTGTCATATATGCAGCGCAAAATTGCGTGCGAATTCAAACAACATTAGCAAAATCATTTGGTATTTTTCAGTCCTAAGTCTATTGCCTGTTAAGTAAATGGTCGAATAGTCGTAATTTAGTCGACATCCAGTAGGAAATTCACCTAATCAATCATGAAACGTCTGACCAGTCACAATGAAGACACTATTAAAACAGTTGTTTGTTTCTGTACGTATTTGTCATAGTTAATCAGTCAGCTACAACGTAGGACCAGACACGTATGTGCATCGATCCAAGTTGCCGTACTCCTTTAGCACAACAAGATGAGCACCGAATTCTTAGAAGTAGTTACTTGAATGGTGGTAATATATAAAAGAAAGATTGCAATAAGGATATAGTACAGGAAGAAAGAATTAGTCCATAGAAAGACAGATATGAAGCGATTTTAATCTCATAGTTTTAGGGAAGACAGAGAGTGTATATACCGACGCCATTGTGATCGATTCTGAGCCATATCACCAAGAGTCTTCAACCATTGGTTACGATAGTCACGCGGACCTCGACCAAGTAGTCTGCATCTACCAACATGGCTCAGACCGGAAGTTAATGACTTCAAGCACTGATACCACGTTTTGGTTTGGCTGCCCCTAACTTTCTTCCAACCATCCCCAACACTAGTTAGCATTGCGCATCGTGGTAATCGGTGTTCAGGCATACGTAACATGTGACCCAACCATCTCAGTCGATGAAGACTCACAACCTCATCAACTGATTTACCATCATTCCCTAATACCCAGTGTCTAACCTCACTATTACTTACCCGTTGATGCCAGCAGATGTGAGCAATATTTGTAAGACATCTGTGATCAAATACTAGTAGATTACGAGTAGTTTCTACTCTTAATGGCCACGTTTCGCAGATGTAGAGTAAAACAGAATGAACTGCCGCATAATATACTTGTCTCTTAATTGATATACGAATATCTCGCCCTCGCAATAGGTGACGTAAGTTAGCAGAAACCAGACGAGCTTTTCGAATCCATGCAGAGATTTCGTCAGACACCAACCCATTATGGCTGATCAGACTTCCAAGATAAGTGAAGTTGTCGACACTTTCGACATCATGTGATAAATTAGCCTGCCTAGTGTTGTGGTCAGTTTGTTAGTATTAAGTCTACTATATTGTACGAAACGGGGAAAATAACTGTACACTTAACCTCTGATTGCAACACCCTGATTTTTATAAAAGCTTCGGCAACTGAATTCGCCACGATTGATTTCAATAACAAGTAAGACAATCTGATGATGCACAAGTGCAAGTAAGTGGATCAGTAAAATAATGATATGAGATAAACGACTTGCCTAGTAGTTGTCACAATGTCATTCACATCCCATTTTATATAACCGTATTTAGTTACTGTAATGTCTAAGTAAAATAATCAACAATAAACTGCACAAAGTCTTATTCCGAAAAAACACTTCAGTTGTTTGATACAATAACTTTTTACAGTATATCAGAGGTTGTAGTTTGTTTTTATCACCAAGTTAGACCCACAAGAAACAGAAAACAAACTGTTAGCTGTAACCATTGAATTCAATAAGCTTGATCACACCTTAATCATAAATACCTGATATATATTAAATTTTCACCTACGGAGTCTGTTAATTGCTCATACTGTCTGTCGAAAAACATGATTCATGTACTAATTATTGATGCGTAGAAACATGTCTGTTACAAATCCAGCCACTAGCCAATATGGCACAATTTTCGCGAACCGTTACGATTAGTTTCTGTTTGAAATACAGTTAAGTTGTGCTCGGGTGGCAAATTTTGGCACTGCAGAAAGTGAACTGCTAGTCATGCAATTCAACTGTCCAACTTAGGAGGATTTAGCTGAAAGACATACCCATTTTCACGTACTATAAAATCAGTTCTTGTGTATCAATCTACCAATCATAGGAGATTCTGTTGAGATTCAACATATGCAGCGCATCATTTCCATAATGAAGCTCTGTTTATAACATCAAATCATATTCGAATAATCCCTGCCGTATTTCTTCTCTCTCACAGCCTTGAAATTTCGGGTTTCAAAGAACATATTGTCCCGTAATGCTTCAAAGTCTTTCACGTATTGGGGATACATTTGCACGACTACCTTTCTTATTTTTTGTCGAATTAGTAGCAACAAAACGCGTTACTTTTCTTTATGATTACTGGAAACTCTATTCCAATTGGATAACATCGACCTGTCCTTCTTGTTTGTGTCCAGATGAATCTCATATCAGCTTCATTATCTCAGTCGGTAAGATTTTTGTTCTGTTTCGTCCATTTTTCATAGCTGCGGTTATAAAATTGAAGACTTTTACATTTGAAAATATTTTCCACCACATATTTATATCATCCGTAAAACTACTATATATAAATAAATTTCGAGTTCTAGCTTAAAGCTAGCATTTAAGAGTCTTTAAAACCTTTGGTTCTTGTTAGTGAGAATATAACTGTCAAATTATTTGATTGTTTCTTTGTTTATATTCGTTAATATCATGGGATTAATAGTGTAATGGAACGTGTTTGAATTTATCTTTCCAGATGAAAGTTTTGCTTAAAAAACTAAGTGGTTTTCCCTTCAGGACATTTCAAAATCCATGAATTTATACACCTGAAATCATCTCTTTCTAATTGTTCAGGTTTTTTGCTAAAGTTCAAATGTCAAATTACAAACTAGCTTACTAATAAACTTTTGTCAGTATCTTTTTACTAGATAAAAAATAGCTTATGGATATCTCTAAATTGATTGACTATTGAGCTTGATACAAAAAGAAATCATGCTTTGTTTCAAGTGTTAGTCATGCGCATACAGCCACCGTCAGGGAAGTCCTACTTATTGCCTTCTGGCGACAGGGATGTTGTTTATAAATTTGGGAGGACCGAAAGCGAATTTCTGGAGCTTAAACGGGACTGGTGGATACGGAGCACTCATCTAAGGGTGTTGGAAAACCCTGGTTCCAAACCAATGGTGCATATAGGCTCCAAGATCCTGAGGAAGCAAGAGGCGTATGGACCTATTGTTGGTCACCGACTACCATGGGATTGCATCTCATAACGCTGCTTCGCTGGCTTATGTACCAGACCTCCAGGTCAAAGGCTTGGAGAGTGGTCCCCTAAGAAGACCATCTGCTTTGGTTTGGGTGCCCTGGCAGTATTCCAGTTCTCACACAAATCGAATGATTTGTGTGGCGCATATATATATATATATATATATATATATATATATATCCTTGTACCAATGTTTGTTTAAATAAATAAATAAAAGACGTAGGTATCATTACCAAGGTTTGATTTGATAATTTCGAATAAATTGAGCATTGGGTTGATTGTTATGAATAAAAATAATATATTTGTAATATCCCAATGAGTAGGAAATTGGATTTTCTGACGTTTCGTGACTTAGTGTAAGTCACTTCCTCAGAGAATAAATAACCAAATTAAAATTAATCCAAGTTTAAATAGTACAACGGAACAATGCAATAATAATATTGGATCAATCAAAAACAGGTCTGAACAAGTTGATGTCTTGTCATTTCTGTCAGGGTGATTCATAAATAAAAGACGGCTTGCTACCCATATTTTAGCTGGTCAATATAATTTGCAACTTTTTAAAAAAATGCACTTCGCAAATAGTACTAGTTTTTCTAATGTACTCCATAATAATATTTTATCTCCGTTCTATTTTTAATTTTCAGCTTTCATCATTTGTGCAGTCACCTCAGTTATTTACATTAAAGGCATTTTCACTGTTGTATTTATTGTAATAAATCTCTTTCTTGTTTGTATAATGTTTACGAATTATATGTCTTTATTGTACACTATCACGTTACCGACATTTCCACCCGCTTTGTCTTCTTTCTCTACTTATTTTTCCTCGTCGTCGTCTTCTTCCTCACTGTCATTACTTATACGATGGCATTGTATATTGGGCTGTTTATTACTCTCTACTTCACTTTTGTTTATGCTAATAAATTCAATATTCAGGCGTATACCACCTTATAAATATTTTATAATTATAATTCTTTATATCTCTGTACTATTTATCTCTTCATTGCCAATTATTATTAAGTCCTCATCAATAGAATTGACGAGATCCGATCATGAGAAATCATTGAGAATGATGATGATAACAACAACGACAACAGCAAATGATAAGCATTCATTTCATACAAATGTCATCTATGGATTAAATAATTTTTCATCAACGTGGTTATTCTATGTCTATACAATGGTTAAACCGAATTGTTGTGTCAAGCAATCTAATGTAAATAGTAATTGGCAATCTCTTTGTCTGCCTACAAATATTCATTTGTTTTCATCAAATGAGAATATTGTTCATGATGTAACTATTGTTTCTGAAGCAGCTTATCGATATGATATAATCTTACTAACTTGTTCTTATGGTTTATTGTGTATTTATATACTACTTCTATTGTATTGTTTAAGCATTACTGATATTTATGAGATCTTTATGTCATGTGTTAATATAGAGCTGGAATTATATCGACTTGGTCTAGTTGATTATATCACATTTCATTGGAATCGATTAGATGTACCACAAACTTTAATGTACTTTTGGTCATTCAAACTAATGTCAGTGATTATTTTGGGTCCAGTATGCTGGGAAATTATTCCAACTGGTGATGTTAATGTTGATGAGATATCAGCGAAACTATTCAATTCTTCTACATTGAATGAATATTCTAATCTGGATACTGCTAATCAATCAACATTATCTATACTATACACAAGATTATTTGTTGGTCTTTTTGTACATGGATCAGAAACCTGGTTGTCAGTGTGTGGAGCAGCTGCATTTTTCGGTGCATTAGCTACTATTTTCGTTTCTATATTGGTCTTTTTATTGGATCCATCCCGTACTGGGACAGCTCGATTAGCAGTGGTAGCTGCAGAAGCTCCAGCTGATCCGCATACATGGAATGTAATTGATGATCCAGCGTTAGCTTTAGATCAAAATGATGTTATTGCTATGGAATTACTAGCTAGTACAGGATGGAATTGTGCTGTTGTCTTTTTGTTCTTAGCTTTCCAATCAGATATGCCTAATCTCCCACCAGTTTATCGTGCATCATGTTCTATGTATGGAATTATGGTTCTTGTGATTGCGTGTATCCATCCTATTCAAGCATTGATCAAGTCATTCTTATTACGTCTTGGGGCACCTGGTCAACAAACAAATTGGTCCGAACATGTACGACCATTGTGTTTTTGTGTTGTGCTAATTTTTGCAGCTTTCAATATGTTCACTTGTTTACCAAGAATATTAACAAATGACAAACTGGATTATATTCGTAATATGAATCACAGTGAAAATGCATCCTATTTAGCTGTTTTATCACATATTGGCTCATCGGAAGAAGCAATACTTGCGAGACGACTAAGAATATTTCTAAGCGGTTGTCAATTATTAATTAGCCTTGTAGTTACACTAATTGAATATGCTATTTATCAATACTCTTATCGATATCCTAATTGGACAGGATTTCAACCAACAATATTTTGGACAAAAGTGATTAGTTCAGTAATTGATTATTTTATTTCATTATTATCATTTCTAACAGTCTGTTGGTTAGTATTCTATGATTCTTTTGGAGTGTGCCGTTTGTTTATTATTTGTTGTTATTTCTCCTTAGTTTTATATCCATCAGCGCGTAGAGCATATATATGGATAAAATGGCGATTATTATGCACTAAACGTATGAATGATTTAGTTAATCCTAGTAAAATACAATTAGAACGGTATGGTGATACATGTCCAATATGTTTTGCTGAAATGACTATAACTACAGCAAAAATTACTAGATGTGGTCATCTTTATCATTCTGAATGTCTTATACAGTGGATGAAACATAAATTAACATGTCCTATATGTCAGTCAGATTTATTGTCGACTAGAGTGACTAATAAACGACGAGAAGTTACAAGTGCTCGTATGCAAGAGACTATAGTAGGTGAACAAAATTAAATAAGTTTAAAAGAAATTATTCAGAATTTTTGACTTTATTTATTATTATTACTATTACTACCAATACTACTACTATTACCATCATCATCATCATCATCCTTTTCACTGTCTAACCATTCGATATTAAACAAAAGTCAAACAAGAAATCACCTTTCAATCTTGTAAATGCAAATTGTTATTACTCTGTGCCTTCAATTGTACACTCGTCATTATTATTTGTCAAAGATGTTTGTAAAATGGAGGCGCGTATAAATTCATAATGTCTATGTGAAGCCGCTTTTTTGTTTATTTTTGTTTTTTGTGTGTATGTACGTGACTTATTATCATGCATAGTACATAAAGAGAAGATTTACAATAAATTATTGACATATAATATTGTCTATTTTTTCAGAGAAATAATAAAGTTAGTTTCGGTGTGATTCATTTACCAGTTTTGAACTATATATCTTTTGTTTATAGATTAATGATATAGTCCAGTTGCCGCAACTGATCTAGAAAGTGTAAGTTCAGTACTATGATGTAATTGTTGAATGTCGAGTGTTAAACAATTGGTCACTTATAGTGAACAGAAATATATTTATTCTAGCTGTACATAGCCCAGGGCAGAGTTCGATAAAGAATGCTGATGGGCGGCCTATGCTCCTCCACGAGGAGTAACAGGCGTAAGTAATTAAGTAAAGCTGTACGTATAGTCAGTTGGAGATTATATCATCAACATTATTACTAATGTTTTTTTTTGTGTCTGGTTAAACTATAATAAGAATTTACCTCACTTATTAAATATGTTTCTACTGTTAACTTTAAACCACACTTTTGTTACTACCTAGTTATCCAAACTCCAAACAGGTGAAGCAAAGGTTTAATAATTAGAAGCTAGATGTTGTAATCATCAAACCGTCATACAAATCTCAGTATACTACGTGAAAAATGATCAGTCAGCTACAACGTAGGACCAGGCATATATATGCATCGGTCCAATTTGCCATACCACATTAACACAACAAGATGGACACCGGGTTCATAAAAGTAGTTAATTCAGAGGTGGTAATATATAAAAGAAAGATTGCATATAAGGATATAGTACAAGAAGAAAGAATTAGTTCGTAAAAAGAAAGATATGAAGCAGTTTTAATCTCTTAGTTTAAGGGAAGACAGAGAGTGTATACACCGACGCTTTTGTAATCGATTCTGAATCATGTCACACACAGTCTCCAACAATTGGTTACGATAATCACGCGGACCTCGACCAAGTAGTCTGCATCTACCAACATGGCTCAGACCGGAAGTTAATGACTTCAAGCACTGATACCACGTTTTGGTTTGGCTGCCCCTAACTTTCTTCCAACCATCCCCAACACTAGTTAGCATTGCGCATCGTGGTAATCGGTGTTCAGGCATACGTAACACGTGACCCAACCATCTCAGTCGATGAAGATTCACAACCTCATCGACTGATTTACCATCATTCCCTAATACCCAGTGTCTAACCTCACTATTACTTACCCGGTGATGCCAGCAGATGTGAGCAATATTTGTAAGACATCTGTGATCAAACACTAGTAGATTACGAGTAGTTTCTACTCTTAATGGCCACGTTTCGCAGACGTAGAGTAAAACAGAATGAACTGCCGCGCAGTATACTCGTCCTTTTGTTGATAGACGGATATCTCGTCTTCTCCATAGGTGACGTAAGTTAGCATAAGCCAAATAAGCTTTTCGAATCCATGCAGAGATTTCGTCAGACACCAACCCAGCACGTGAAAAATGATAATGAAGGTGATCAATTTACAATCACGTATCGACTAAAATCAATAGATCATTTACTATTTACAACTATTGATGATTTCTTACGACTATTTAAACTGTTGGTTAACATATTAAGATTGAAAGGATTAAGTGCATGTATATAATAACATGCAAATATGTAGCAAACAGATAATTTAGATATATTAAAGAACTAACCTCTCACTAATGGTAATCATTTATCATGTCTCATCAAGTCCTTCATGCTGATAGAATCCCACCAAGTTAGTTGCAACATGTCCACTGATCTAAGTGATACAGTGTCGTTGTGTACTTTTTTGCTGTTAGTAGGAATCACAGACTTACTTTCCAAGATATCTGGCTCTTGTCGGGAAAATTTGTCTAGATTCTCAAAGGAAACGATAAGGAATTCTAGCCTGGCTCACAGTATTTTTCAAAAATGTCATTACTATGCTACTTGGATAGAACTGACTTTCTGTAACGTACATGTTTTGTACTAATTAGTCATTGATTAATAATTAATGTCCTATTGCGTAGTCCTTATGGATAATCGCTTCTTATCGATGTAGTTGTAATGAAGTAGATGATTATAGATCATTGATAAGTTAAATTAGGCCATGAGTATTAAATTGTCCTTATCTTTTACAACAAACTCCTACATCATCCTAAGTTTGCTTTTAACTTTTTCAACTACCCTCTGCAGACAGTTTCTAATTTATAACTCAACAGGATTAATTTGGTTTTGTGTTCTTTGAGCTGAATAATTCAATCTTAAACATTCCATAGTCTTTCTAGACAACATTATTAGCTGCAAAACTTTCAGTAGATATTTAGAACGACAATAAGAATTTCTTGAAATAAATCATTTCAATACAACACTATGTAATTTTATACAGATATCAGAATTTAGTTTAAATTACTGGAAATTTATTAAATAGTGAGGATAAATAAGTGTATGATCATGTAAAATGTTAGTTATCAATTAAACAATTGCCTATTGAATTTACAGTTCATTGCGTTGTTGTGTCTTGTTATTGGGGTTCAGTACGGTCTACAATATTACGGATTTAAGAACATAAACGACTGAGCTTCTCTAATACGATCGATTTTCTTTGTAACTGACAACACCCAATTATGCTCAACACATCAAACCTCGACGGCTAAGGCAGGAAGAAGATGGAATTGCAGGTAAATTGATATTTTGTGGTAGAACAAGCAACTCAAACCAAATTGGTATAAAAGTTGTTACTATAGTAGCAGAATATGACCTTCGAGTATGTAACGTCATCACGACTGGTTTGGTCATATAACTCTTCTGGCGATTTTGCAACTATGAGTATATCGTTTAAATAAACGGCTACACCTGTAATACCAGTTAATATGGTATCCATTAATTCTGGAATATCGCTGGTGCCATCCTTACCCCAAAAGGCAGTCGTTTATACTGAAATAAACATCTATGTGTGTTTATTGTCAGTAATTCACGGCATGAAGGGTCGAGCTCTACTTACAGATAGGCTTCGGCTAGATCTAGTTTTGCAAAGTAACTTTCACCGTTTAATATTGTAAGAAAGATCATCTGGAACTGTATAAGAATAATGATATTGTTCTTATCACATTTTATAATCTTGTAAAGAATATTCATCAATGATTTTTTGTTTATGGTACATCAAACTAAGTCAGAAAATTTATCTAAGTTCAGATTGTCCTTATTTTCATATTTAAGTTTTTCGATATTTAAAATAATCTTGCTTACCACAACAAACTTCGCAACCATTAGATTTGGTAAAGTTTCATTGTTTAGAAACAAAAAAGTGAAATTTTGTCAAATGGTATCAATGGATTAGATTAATTGTTGCAGTGGTACTTTTTAAAATGACCAGGGCGTGGCGAATAAAAATCGTAGCAATGTCCTGCAAGTGGAGCAGTGGGCTAATAGCTTAAACATTCAACCTTTTAATTGGTAGTTCGTATATTTGAACTCGTTCCCACCGACTTCAGTTTGAGCAACCGAATGGTATCATTAAATGTGACTGAATAATTCCTGGTTAGCGTTTTTTTAGCGAGTTAGTTTTCTACGGGATGGAGTCGATAACCCCATTCCGAACCCTCCTCCTTTATCCGGGCTTGGGACCGGCAGTAGCCCCAGAGGGGCTCCAGGCGGAGTTATCACTAAATATGATACCACATTATTATTAGGGGATGTTATGTCCCGATAAGAATAATGATTGGTAACTTTTGGGATCCATTTATGGACCAGTACTATGCGTATATTTTTATTGTATATTTGTTAAATAAGTGGACTATTAATATCCATGTTCCTCTTGTTATGAGCATTATTTTGACCTATGAACTATTATTATACGATTTACCATTCTCGAATTATGCCCTGTCTATTAATTACTACCTCCCTCATTCACGGCAACATTTGGCTAATTCTTGTACAAATGTTGTTTCCTATTTTATGGTACGGTGTGGTCTGTCTGGTTGGTATATAAACCCAGTATGCTTGAAATAAATGATTCATATTGCAGAGCCTGAAATTGGTGTTCTGGACCTAATTGGCTGGGCTAAGCAAGAAGCACGACCAATCAGGACTTTAGACTGTTCGTACATGTTTTATGCGTCATTGGTCCGACCGATAATTCACTACTCTCTAATTGGCGGTATCATTACGTTATACATTAATAGGGCACACAGGCCACAAGTTATAACAGGGGATAGTCTAAATTTATCAAAAATAACAGTTTTGTCCTTGTACTGTGTTCCTTATTGATAATTAACATATTTGTAACAAAAATATCTTTATATACTTGTGCAAACAACATCTGAATACTTTGAGAAGTTGGTTGGCTAATTGGTTATTATGCAATTAGGTTAAAGTGCGATGGAACTGTTGAGACCTTTTAGCACTATAAGTCGATATACTGAGCGAAAAAGTGTCTCCATGGTGTATAGCCTAAGATGTTGATTTTCAGTTGCGGAATTTTCTACGACGAGTACTCGCATTATTTGATTCCAGATTACTGTTTTTTGGGCGTCTGTATACAGTTCCCAAACAGAACCAACTCAACCTCCTTATTCTCTAGATTACAAAAGTTGGCAACGCCGTAGGCTGTGTTAACGAGATATAGATGGGGTTAAAGCATGCTCCATACAGGGTTGTGTTGGGACACGATGATTGGGGGATACTTGGAGAAGACTAGGATATTCTTCTGTGAAGATTATAAATATACTGACTTTTTCTTATTGTGATTCCTGCTTTTATTCAACCTTGTTTACGTTCCTGTTCAACCGTGTTCTGATTTGAGGACTTGTCGATTGAAGTAACGTCCAAGAATAAGAGTAGCTATGCTGTAATAAGAGAGATCGTAACACAAACTGCGTGATGTGGTCACAAATTCCTCAGGGAACATCGGCTCCCTCAAGATAATGAGTGTAAAATGGCACAAAACCTACTTAGGTAAACCAGGATTCCCAGTTAAATATCTCCGACCACGCAACACTAGTAAAGAACACAGTTTAAGATGTTAACTGTTTTGGAATGAAAAAATTCTCCACGTAACTCAATTAAAAGATGTATGTGCTATAATTTGTGGCGAAATTCCGAAGGATCACAATGAAACTAACAAAAGCCCTTTATAAAGAATTTGCTAAT